CCCCAAAACCCCAAAACCCCAAAACCCCAAAACCCCGAACTTAAGGCTATGTTATCAATAATTAAGAATGCTTAATGAAATAAACTTTTTTCCTTATTTCAATTGAGACTTTACCAACGGTTTCTTCATTTTTTATCACCGATCAATCTTAAAATATGCAAGAACAAGTTGATAATGTCCATATAGATGATCATTGCTGCAATAATGTAATCATCAGAGTCTAGTTCATAATGCCCTCCACCAACAATCAAATGAGTGTCATATACAATGTAAAATCCAAACATAATAGCGCCAAACATGCAATAAGCGGTAGAGTTTCTATTAATGTCGGAGAAGATCATCATAAAGCAAGCCATTGAAAGAGCACAAGAAATTATGGTGCAACCCGCTGAAGAGTAATCAATTTCCTCTTTAGCATTATAAACATATAGAGTCAACCCAAATACCACAGCAAAAGTTATAGCAGCAGCTGCTAGGACTGATTTCGGCTCATATTGAGAGGTAATAAACATCACTATGTATCCCATAGATAGAGTGAATATTAAGAGCAATAAATAGTTCCAGGGTACAGTTCTGGCTGCCTTTTTCCAGCAAACAATAAAGCACAAAGCAGTAATCATGAGTACAAGAGGTATAGCCAGAATTCCTTTGTTTTGGTCTAACCACAATCTGGTGGGTTCATTATAGACAGGGATGCAGCACATTCCAACTGTTACTAGAAGCTAAGCACACAGAATACCGTATACCTTTCTAATAAACCCAAGACGATCTTCCAATTCCTCAAGAGAAGCATGTCTCTTGTAAAGATTCTGTTGTGCCTCAATTGGCATATTTTAGAAATTTTGGTTGTTTAAATCTTATTACTGCTAATGTTGAGCAGAATTTGGATAATCTGGTTGATTGTTATAATTGTTAGTTGGTTATGCGAATGCGGCTCCTGGGTTTTATTAGTTCATCTTTATAATATATTTATTTATTATTTTAAATTGTCTTAAGAAAATAAACGTCGAATTACTCCAAATTTGAGTGGTGCGGGGTTTTGGGGTTTTGGGG